CAAGATAGGGGCTAAGTGAGGAATCAGTCTGGAATTTAAGGGAAGGGTAGATGGGAGGTTAGTTGGGGTAAGACAATGGGCTACTGAGTGCTACTGAGTGCTAGTCGAGGTCAAGATAGGGGCTAAGTGAGGAATCAGTCTGGAATTTAAGGGAAGGGTAGACGGGAGGTTGGGGTTAGACAATGGGCTACTGAGGGCAAGATAAGGGCTAAGTGAGGCTAATTAGAGGCTAGTTTGTGTTAGCTGAGGGCTTTTCATTGGGAAGTCGTAGGCAGGATAGGGGCTAGACTTGGGCAAGTTACAAGGTTAGTCAGTATCTAGTGGGCAGTTATCTGGCATCGGCTAGTCTGTGGTTGATCGTGGATTAGTCAGTTGTTAGTGGTTGATCGTGGATTAGCCAGTTGTTAGTGGTTGATCATGAATTAGTCAGTTGTTAGTGGTTTATGATGGATTAGTCAGTTGTTAGTGGTTGATCATGGATTAGTCAGTTTTTAGTGGTTGATCGTGGATTAGTCAGTTGTTAGTGGTTGATCGTGGATTAATCAGTTGTTAGTGGTTGATCGTGGATTAATCAGTTGTTAGTGGTTGATCGTGGATTAGTCAGTTGTTAGTGGTTGATCGTGGATTGGCTAGTTGTTAGTGGTTGATCGTGGATTAGTCAGTTGTTAGTGGTTGATCGTGGATTAGTCAGTTGTTAGTGGTTGATAGTGGATTAGTTGTTAGTGATTGATCGTGGATTAGTCAGTTGTTAGCGGTTGATCTTGGATTAATCAGTTGTTAGTGGTTGATCGTGGATTAGTCAGTTAGTGTTTGATCGTGGATTAATCAGTTGTTAGTGGTTGATCGTGGATTAGTCAGGTGTTAGTGGATGATCATGGATTAGGCATGTGTTAGTAGCAAGGCATGGCTTGTCAGTTGTTACTTGAATTATACTATGTGCAATGAATCAGTATGCTATATATAACTTGTATATGTGATGTATGTATGCTGTATTTAACTACTATAAAATGTTGTATATAAACTGTATTTATGTTTTTAACTGTTTACGTGATCATAAGTGCATATGTTTAAACCCAGAAATGAATATTGCGGGGAAAAAAATGAATTTGGAGGCACGCGAGATGGAGTTTGTATTTAACATTTCAATATTGTTTCTTATCCTTTTGGGAGGTACTGAACCCCACCAGTTTCAAATACGCATTTATTGAACACTTCTTATTAGTTCCATCATTCGTATTGACCTGATTCGATCAGATGAATTGGGTGTGTCTTGACCTTCGACGAACCCATGAGACAGACTCACCGAACCGCTGGGTTCGATCGAACCCAGGTTAAGAACCACTGGTTTACTGGGAGTGTGTGTCTTATGGTGTGTGTGTGGCTGGGAGTGGGGGGGGGGATGGTCCCAGCAGGTGAGTACGTGAGTTATGCCCCATGGTAGGAAAGTGTCAACATTGGTTGGGGGGGGGGGGGTGGTGGTCCCAGCAGGTGAGTACGTGAGTTATGCCCCATGGTAGGAAAGTGTCAACATTGGTCAGGGTGTAGGGGGGGGGGGGGATATCGCTTTCCGTAACATCTGTTTCCGTTCCAACTGCTTCAAATTCCAGAGCTTCGGCGGTATATGGTTCTGTAAGGTACGTTAACAGGTGTGACAGGTGACAGTGTCAAGTGGGAGGTGTGACAGTGTCAGGTGGGGTGTGTGACTAGTGACAGTGTCAAGTGGGAGGTGGGACAGTTTACAATGTCAAATGGGAGGTGTGACAAGTTACAGTGTCAAGTGGGAGGTCTGACTAGTGACAGTGTCAAGTTGGAGGTGTGGCAGGTCACACTGTCAAGTGAGAGGTGTGACAGGTGACAGTATCAGGTGGGAGGTGGGACAGGTGACAGTGTCAGTGGGAGGTGTGACAGGTGACAGTGTCAGTGGGAGGTGTGACAGGTTACAGTGTCAGTGGGAGGTGTGACAGGTGACAGTGTCAGTGGGAGGTGTGACAGGTGACAGTGTCAGGTGGGAGGTAAACAGGTGACAGTGTCAGGTGGGAGGTGTGAATAGTGACAGTTTCAGGTGGGAGGTGTGACAGGTGACAGTGTCAATGGGAGGTGTGACAGGTGACAGTGTCAGTGGGAGGTGTGACAGGTGACAGTGTAAAATGGGAGGTGTGACATATGACAGTGTCAGATTGAAGGTGTGACATATGACATTTATATATGATATTTGGGTAGTGATAGGTTGGATATTTCACAGGTGACAGTGTCACATGGAAGGTATGACAGGTGATAATTAGAGATTTGACAGGTGAACGTGTCAGGTGAAAGATAACAAAGACGCAGATACAATCTGGCTTTCAGATGCCTGCAGTATCAAAGTATGGAGCAGTAATCGAATGGAAACTTAAGCTTAGTGTGGGATGTGATGCACGGCTATATGAAACAAAAATTTAGCTTCAATGTGTTTTCATGTTTACAAAAAAACAACAATACCTCTGATCTAACTAATCCAACCTGTCAGAACTTTTATATCTGAAGATAAATTACCGTATGCTTGTCTGGTACTTTTTTCACACAACTTTTTCATTTAATTTTATACTTTGTTGTTTTCTTTGAACTATTTGAAGTATATTTTCTTTAATTATTTTTTTAAATTTAAAACCATGTGACTTATTTGATGTTAAATAATAGGGATTTTTTTTTTTTTTTTTTTTTTTTTGTGGATTTTGTTTACAACCAAGTCGGTTTTTTTGATGTGGGATATAAGGCTATGGTTGACTGAGTGTAGAATCATATGTTGTTTACAGTAACATGATGTGGTGTTAGACTAAAAGACGTGCCCTCTTTTATCCAGCATGGCAGCCTAAGCCTGTCTGGCTCTGGTTTGTCAAGTCTAGCATATGTCACAAAGGCCGCAGTAAATCATACCCGGATTGCAGACTTTTGCTTTTAATATTTACCACGTTAGGCATGGGGAACGACAGCTATCTAAGATGAAATATATCAGTGCTGGGTTTGTGTGTGTGTGTGTGTGTGTGTGTGTGTGTGTGTGTGTGTGTGTTCGCGAGTGGGGGTGTGTGAGGTGGGGGTAGGGTTTGGGGGTCGTCGAAACCGCAAGAATGTTTTGTATTGGAGGATATTTCTGTCGGTGACAGCATCGACGGCAGCAGATGGTCTTGTGGCACAGTTTCCGGTTCAGTGAATCTACGATCGTTTTTCTGGGACTGAGGTTTGAACTACGTCATTTTTGTGAAGGCTGTTGAAAGTAGACGCGACGCAGTGGTAGAGTGGTAGAGCACAAGCCTTTTAACCGAAAAGTTTCGAGTTCGATTCCCACACATGAGTCTAGTCCACTCTGTTAAGTTAGGTGCCTAATTAGCGTTGTTGTAGAGATACTATGTGTCTGTGAGTAATGTTTACCACATTATTCTTTTGATTACTTCGTTAATAACATGAATCACCAGTCCAGCAGCTTTGTACTCTAGGTCTAACTAGGTACCATTGGTTTTATTTCTTCAAACTAGAAGCTATAAAAGCAAGATTCCCTCTAAAGAGTCAACACGTGTTCGTGTGCCGTGATCTGCACTTTGACAATGATATCTGTGTTTGACAAAATGAACACGTAGGTTTATACCTACTGAGCCGCTGTTTGACTGGACAGATTAGAGGGGTAGGGCGTGGTCGAGCAGGTTAGCTCATGATTGCTAATCCAAATAATCCGAGTTCGGTAGATGAGACTCGTTGGCTGGAGACAGCAACTTATCTAGGAGAAAACAAATCAAAAGACTGCTGCTTTGTAGACTGTGTTTTGGATGGACAAACGCTATGGAAGCAAATCTAGAAAGAAAAGCAGGCTGAAATCGGAGTCAATGGCTCATAACATATTGACACGCAATAATTAATTATATTGGAGGGAAAAATCCTTCTATTCGTCAAAGAAGAAGAATAAGGAATGAAACACACAGATGCTTAAGTTTTTGAGTAAAATAATCGTTGCCACAAGATGTTCTATGTTAACTTTAGTGTCTTTGAATGTGTTGTTGCCACAAGATGCTACTTGTTTTTTGGTGTCTTTGAATGTGTAACATAGGTCAAGAGAAAGTCTAAGGTCCGGATGTCGACAGTCGATTTAGTGAAGAAATAGAAACCTTCGACTGGTTGGTTGTGCTTTTATGTAATTAATGTTCTGCTTGAATATGTATGTACCTTTGATTTACGTCCGCAATTTACGGCTTAGAAAAAAAGAATAAGCGACGTTTTGGTATTGAGTTACGTTGAAGGTTAGGGTATTTAATCAAGGTATTATTATTAGCGATACCAGTTACATAAAATATATTAAGATGGTAGTTCCAATGCAGTAGGTTTAACTGCAGAGCCCGTAAGATTAATTTTAAATTGAATAATGTCACCTGTATCAGAGTGGTCACTCTAATTTAACCAGATCTGAACGAGACGACTGTGGGATACTGTCCAGAGGCTCACCAATTCTGGCTCTGTGACCACTATAGATAAATCATCATTTGAACACAAATGCCCAACATTCTATAATGAAAAGTCTTAAATAGTTTCTAACTGACATTCCGACGCATCATATTCAGCCACCTCATCAAGAAGAAGTAATTAACCATAGCATTTTAAAAATAAAATACGTCCTTAGTCATATGGGAATTTTTGTGTTCCCCACCCCCACATATCACATGCCATCATACATACACACACACAAACCGCACTGGGAAATATTTCTGTTGGCTGATAAATTCTATAGAGAAATATTTTGTCATTTACCTGATCCCCTTGCCTGTGTTTATTTATAGCGCTGACTTAAGCAGACACGTCATAGCAAGCTGCATCCAAGTCTGAACATGTTCGTGGTATAAATAGACAGTCGAGAGATTTGGATCAAATCTCTTTATCTGCTTATTCATACTGAAATCTGGTTGTTGTGATGGGGGTGGGTGGGGAGAGGATTAACCCAGGCTGTTTACTGTAACAGGATTACTTCAGTTATTAGTTACTTGAGGAATGGCAAATTCTGGATCGGGAAAATCAAAGAGCTCAAAACATTGACTTAACTTTTTAAATTTAATTCACTGACAAAACTTGTGAGATAATTTTTTTTTTTATCTTTACATAATAACGTAACATTTAAAAGACAGTTTGTTTACACGCTGACATATTGAAATTATGGTGAATGAGATTACTTTTGGAACGCGATCACAAACTGTCAAAATATTTACTACAAAATAAAAACCCGCGTCAGTTTCAACAAGGGGTCACGGGGTGTGTTGACGTCACTGCCTGGAAGCGCTGCCCGGTGCCTTGAATACACGCAGCCATGACGTCATAACTTTCTGCTCCTTAAATACACGTAGCTATGATGTCATTGTTGGGTGGTCTCAGAGATTTGATTCATATTTCGAATCTTCTTACCAGTGGCGTAGCTAGGGGAGGGCGGGTGGAGCGCCAAAAGATGTAAAAAATAAATTTAAATGCTCATCTTAAGTTGGGGCATTGAATTATACACAAATTTAAGAGAATAAACATGGCTTTACTCAATGATTCACAAAAAAAACCTTACACTTACAGGACAGTGACTGGTAAAAAGTGACAATAACCTTTCCAGTTGAGGGGAGGAGGGCGCTTTTTCGTCACGTTGAATAACTATATTTATAAATGGGGCGCACAGTTGATAGCTTGCCTCGGGCACCGGAATGGGTCGCTACGCCTCTGCTACTTACACAATAGACTAAACCCCAACATGGGCAATTAAAGATTGTTACAAATAAAATTTCTTCAAAAAAAATTACTATTGCTTAAATTACAATAGAATTTTCTTTATCCTACATCCTGGAACCAGAAAATATAGAAGACACTGGTCTAGGCTCTAAAGATAACTAAGTCAAGTCATATTGCATCCCAAAGAATAACATAAAGTCTTTGCAATTCACATGCAAATCACTCGATTGTGCTTGAAGTTTGAAACGAATCCACTTATAAAACTTATCCTTATCTTTGGTAGACGAGCCAGTAGACACCGACATGTAGGTGTCAAGGTAAGAGGAAAAAACGGCAAGTTTATTGGCAATAAAAGTAGGACAAGATTAGAGATTTGCATGGCGGAGTGAATTCATGCGTGTTTGGTGTTACTAAAAGGGAAATAAATCAGGAATAAATTAACGCTTCGCTGGGTTACCTACCTTGATTTCTACTGACGGGGTTGTCATATTTACGCACATAATTTTATGAAGTTTCACCATTAAGGAAATAGAGTTTAGTCGTAAATAATATTGTATGTGAAAGATGTGCTATGGGTAAGCCAGGGGTATGATTTAGTATTATATAATTTTATTTTATATAATTATATAAGAAAGTTTTTTTTTTTTTTTATTAAAGATTTGTTTTTTAAAGAAAAGGTGGAAAATTTGTTAGAACTTGGGCTACAATTGTTGTGTTTGATAATTTTAAAAGTTATTTGTAAATCTAGTTATTTATTTTACAATTTTACAGAAGAAAAAGTTCCAGAATGTGAAAAATGTTAAATCTTTTATTTTTACAAAATATAGCGGAAACAGAGTTGATCAATGGTACACTCATAATAAACAAAAGTTAAAATTAATTTTAGTTGTTGCTGTAGAGTGGGATGGCGTGGCGCTACCTTGACAGTTTGGACAGGTGACTGCAGGACTTCATTGAGTTCCCTGACAAATGTGCCACGTCAAGATGGCTGGTCGTAGAACTGACCACACAACCACTTCATACACCTGAGTACATGGCCAGGTGTAGTCTGCCAACCATCAGACCGTGACTCAAATATCGGGTTAACTATAAATTAGTACATTAGTTACATGAAGTTGTAACATTTATAATACTTTTTATAGTGACGATAAATTTATTTATTTACAATTTAAATTTTGTTTACTTATTTAGACTGGATAACCTGTATGCTTAAAGCGCCCTTGTTGAATGTTATATGTCATTTAAAGTTTGGTGCAAATACAAAAATAACCCGTAATCTGATCAGATAGGTCAGTCAACCCAAAATGCCACCAAGTTTAAATTCACTTTCAATTGTGACACATGTAAGAGCTTTAAGTAGCATCGCGTGTCAGCAAATGTCACTTCTTCTCCTCCGTGCTTGTTTATCCTCGTGGTACTACTCACGATTTTCTATCCTGAAGGTTTCGATTTCTGTTGATGCCGAACACCAATACAACATATCATCATCTTTTCGCTTTTGTGCCCAAGACACATGGGGCCGCCACAGAAAGCTCCCCCCTCTTGTGGTCTGCGGCAATTTTACTGGCAGTCCTGCCTCTGCCAGCTGCTTCCTGGCAGTCCCCCATGACAGTCCTGCCTCTGCCAGCTGCTTCCTGGAAGTCCCACATGACAGTCCTGCCTCTGCCAGCTGCTTCCTGGAAGTCCCCCATGACAGTCCTGCCTCTGCCAGCTGCTTCCTGGAAGTCCCACATGACAGTCCTGCCTCTGCCAGCTGCTTCCTGGAAGTCCCACATGACAGTCCTGCCTCTGCCAGCTGCTTCCTGGAAGTCCCACATGACAGTCCTGCCTCTGCCAGCTGCTTCCTGGAAGTCCCCCATGACAGTCCTGCCTCTGCTAGCTGCTTCCCCGCCTTGCGCCTCCACGTCTCCCTCTATTGTCGAATATTTCGGAAACTGCTTCCATTTCCATCGCTTCTTGGAGTTCAAAATAACAAATACCGTGGCTTAAAAAAGCGGGTTAATTTATCTTGGACCGTCAGTGTAAGAGTTTCTGAATACATTACCAAACTACGACAACTAAAACATGGACCTACATCGTCTCTTGTAAGACAGTTCTACACTAGTTCACTGAACTACATACACATTGTGTTTTATTCAGACAGTTCTACACTAGTTCACTGAACTATACCCACATTATTAAGACAGTTCTACACTAGTTCAATAAACTACATACACATTGTGTTTTATTCAGGCAGTTCTACACTAGTTCACTGAACTAAAACCACATTATGTTTTATTCAGACAGTTCTACACTAGTTCACTGAACTATAACCACATTGTGTTTTATTCAGACAGTTTTACACTAGTTCACTGAACTATACCCACATTTTGTTTTATTCAGACAGTTCTACACTAGTTCACTGAACTACATCCACATTGTGTTTTGTTCAGAAAGTTCTACACTAGTTCACTGAACTATACCCACATCGTGTTTTATTCAGAAAGTTCTACACTAGTTCACTGAACTATACCCACATTATTCAGACAGTTCTACACTAGTTCACTGAACTATACCCACATTATTCAGACAGTTCTACACTAGTTCAATGAACTACATACACATTGTTTTTTATTCAGAGAGTTCTACACTAGTTCACTGAACTATACCCACATTGTGTTTTATTCAGACAGTTCTACACTAGTTCACTGAACTACATCCACATTGTGTTTTATTCAGAAAGTTCTACACTAGTTCACTGAACTATACCCACATTGTGTTTTATTCAGAAAGTTCTACACTAGTTCACTGAACTATACCCACATTGTGTTTTATTCAGACAGTTCTACACTAGTTCACTGAACTATACCCACATTATGTTTTATTCAGACAGTTCTACACTAGTTCACTGAACTATACCCACATTGTGTTTTATTCAGACAGTTCTACACTAGCTCACTGAACTATACCCACATTGTGTTTTATTCAGACAGTTCTACACTAGTTCACTGAACTATACCCACATTATGTTTTATTCAGACAGTTCTACACTAGTTCACTGAACTATACCCACATTGTGTTTTATTCAGGCACTTCTACACTAGTTCACTGAACTATACCCACATTATTCAGACAGTTCTACACTAGTTCACTGAATTATACCCACATTGTATTTGATTCAGAAAGTTCTACACTAGTTCACTGAACTATACCCACGTTGTGCTATATTTAGACAGATCTAAACTTCACTGAACTATAACCCTGTACTCACATAGTGTTATATTGAGACAGTTCTACACTATGAGCCTATATCCACACTACCTCTCTAGATCCCAGTCAAGTATTGACCCACTGTGCCTACCTCAAGAGATGCTCAAACTCAGATCTTCCTTCCAGGGAACACCCAGGTAGCACCTCTCTGCGTGTAGCCACTCACCGAGTGAGCTACCTGTAGCCTCTCCGATCTCCCTGTAGCCCTTCTCCACAGACGTCACTACCAAGTACGATAACTCTTGACTACATCTTTAAAACTTCAACCGTTTTACCTTAAACATCATTGTTTACCTTTAATTTCTTCAAAAAAAAAAAATTATAAAAAAATAATAGTCGTCTACTTACACTTAGCACCATCAACCTTGCGTCCCCCCCCCTCCCCCTCGCCCTACGCCCCCTTCAACACCCACACCCAAAGAAAAAACATCAAAATCCTACAATGAAGCCACTTCAAAGGCTGCCAGTGCTCGAATTGATACCCAAATATTACCTTAAGATTTTTCTTTTTGGGTTGGTGGGCCGGGGGAACAAACTCGTCTGGTGGGAGGGGGGGGGGGGTCTTTACTAGGGGAGATACTTCTGAGTGTGACGTGTTTACGCTCAACCACCCCCTCCCTCCCTCTTTACCTCCCCCCCCCCTATTAAGATATCTAACCCCCTCCAATTCAAACTCACTAGCCAAAACCATCTTCAATAAACACTTTCTTTCCCACACAAAAAAAAGATTTAACTACCCACCTTCTCCTACCACCCGTACCCCCACTCCCCCACCCCCATCCCCACTCCCCCACCCCTCAGTTCTTCAACTCCCGATCTACTTTTTAAAAGGTTAAAAAGGAGCAAAGGGCTGTTGGTTCACATCCTTAAGCCGTGTGATTTCAAGAGCTTACCAACACTCTCTAGGCTTGGGCCCTCATCCCATTTCTTTTTCTTTGGTGATTCTTTTTTTTTTTAAAGTCGTATTTTTTTAAAGTCTTTCTTTTTTAAAAGTCGTGTGTAGATGTGTGGATCGTGTGTAGAGGGGGGGGGGCGTCTGAAAAGACTAGCGGCAACGTCGAAACATCCTGTCAAGACATATACACTCTGCAGGTAATTTAAGCCTTTGTCACACACATTTACCTGAAAAGCTAATCCGATGTCCAAAAGATAAGTGGGATTATGAATTTACACAAAATCTTAAACCAACACTTGAATGTTGCATTTTAAATAATCAAAAAAAAAAAACCTAAGGGAGAGAACTTGGTCGATGCCTTTTTTTAAAACAGTAGATGTAAGGGGAAACTACCAATCCCCTGTTCTTACAGATGGTGAATATACTGGGTGTGTACACAAGATATCAACACCGACCCATTAAGTGGGGAATTAACTTTGAAATATGATAATTTATGTTAATTAGTGAGGTTCAGAGGTGTATACATTAAACATGTTTTGTTGGCTATATGTTTACTTTAGTCGTAGAGAGTATTTGGTTTAAAGTTAGGATCGAGAACATTTTTTAGGGTTAGGTTTGAGAGTATTTGGTTAAATTTAGGTTCCATGTATTCCGTTAGTCATAGAGAGCATTTGGTTAGGTTTCTGTTCGAGAGTATTTGGTTAGTGTTAGGTATCAGAGCATTTGGCTAGGGTTAGATTCGAGAACATTTGGTTAAAGTTAGGTTACATGTATTCCGTTCTACTGTTTGAACACGATGTTCACTTCATAACCCCCACCTATAACATTGCTGTGATACATAATTTCATTTCATAACATTCATTCTATCCTGTAAGATGTAATTACATTTAATATCATCCATTCTATCGTGTAGGAGATAATTACATTTCATTACATCCATTATATCGTGTAGAATATAATTTCAAGAATAGCATCTGTTCTACCCTATGGGATATAATTATAGTTTATAACACCCACTCCAACTAGTAGGATAAAATCGCATTCGTCACCCATTCAATATTATGAGAAAATACATTAAATATGACATTATAAATAGGGATGGGTTGGTCAGCCGGTACACCACTCGCCGCTAACCCGAAAGCCACGAGTTCAGATCCCTGGCTTCCTAGCCGTCAAAACCCACATGTCCATGCACACCCTCACATAAAGTGTGAGGCGAGTGTCAAGTATTAGTCACTCACTTGCCGAAAATTGCGTCATCAACTAATTCGTTTTATTATTAAGGTTGAAAAATAAGTTGCTTCCCATAATAATTTTAAACAGTTATTGGGAACAACCTATAATTATGTTCACAAAATTTGTTAAATCTAAAAACTGTATTGAATGTGCATTTTATTTTATGTTTCAAACATAAAGTTGTTAACACTTTTTTATACAAAGCATGTATTGATTACACTTAATTTTATATTTTACGTTAATTTAAAATTATAAATCTAGCAACATTTCTACGTAGTTGATTTTATGAAGTAATGGATCTTCTCCCATTGTCCTTATCAACACCTTCCATATTCGAAACAGTATTTTAAAACTGCGGTCCTCGTAGGCAGAGGCGTAACGAGGGCGGGGTGGGGGGTGTGTACCGCACCGTGTGACACCATTTAAGGGGTGACACCAAGGCAAAAAATTGCAAAATGTGTAGAAGAAAAATGCTTGCTGCCAGCTCCGTTAATGATTAATTAAAGTTAAATAGTCTTTTTTTGTACAAATCGACAATTATTACAAGAGGGTGGGGGTGACACCATGACGTAAACATGCTAACTGTAGAGAAAACATTGCTACATCCAACTGTATTATTAACAGACTAAAGATAAACATCATTACTTTTAAATCTGCAGAGATTAAAGCTTTTACACGTATAAGCAGGCCGACACACACACACAAACACACACACACACATACATACACACACACACACACATATATATATATATATATATATATATATATATATATATATATATATATATATATATATATATATATATTGGGAACAACATATATATACTTTGTTTCTTGGGGGGGGGGGGGGGGAAGGGGTGACACCACGAAGTGCCGTACCGGGTGACACCCGACCTAGCGACGCCACTGCTCGTAGGTCACATGATGATATCCAGGTAATAAAACAGCGCTCGCCTTGGGGACAAAGTTTAGGCATGCTGAAAAGAATTACATGATCTGAGACATACAATTTTTTATTTTATAGAGTTTCAGATATATTAAATCTTTTCTACTTTAAAATATGTATAACGACGATACATATATCAGGTACATCGCTATAAGATTAAATGACTATGTCACTTCACATATTATTGCTATAAAGTAACTAATAAGATAGTCTGCACTTTACTACTAAAATACATTTACTGATACGTCAAGGAAATATTTGGAAACAAAAAATTACATTTAACATGGTATAGATTACTGCTATATCATTTTATTGAGCAGCTATATCAGAGCACTGTCCGATTTCACAGTCCTAGTCGGATGTTTGCGTTGCATTGTCCCTAGACATTTGTTTTTATACTGATTATATGCCCTAGCACAGACCTACCTCTGCTTCGACCTTCACATTGACGTGTAGGTGTGTTAAAATTCGCACCGTCAAACAATTAA